ACGGCTTTGGATTACGCAGCTGTTCTTAGGAGGCGGGTGCCATGGCTGTTCTGAGGGGGACACCGCTGTCCCTCGCACAAAACTCTACGGTATTCCTCTCCCAGAGTAATCGCAAAAGGCGCCCCTTTCCCTGAACATCTGCATATGCCAAGCACAAACGAGAATCGAAAGAACGCTGACCCCGTCCCCCCACTCCACCCAACACCGAGCGTCCCCAACATCGGGTACTCTCCAACCCGGCCGCCCCCCAAACACCGACTACCTCCCCAACACTCCCCGTCCTTCCCCCCCTCCCCCCATCTCGAACACCGCCCACATCCTACCACCACGGACGACCACCCACCCTCCAACCACAAACAACCCCACTGTGTAGAGCGCCAGACCGCTCTACACCATGAATAAGCCCAAAATGAAGAACGTTAAACCGCTCAGCAGGGGCTTTGGACTCACGGTACCGTACTCACGCAATACCCCTTTGTAATAGTGCTGTATAATGCAGCACAATATCACCGCTTGGAGAAACGGATATTCAGGGCGGGTGCAGGGGAAGGGGAAGGGGCGAGAGCAGCGAGTGGAGGGGTGAGGCAAGGACAGGGAAATAATGATGGGGTACCTCAGAGTTTGATGCAAAAAAGCATGATCGCACCGGCTCGCCTGGTGCGTTCCAGCCTGGGTTTTAAATTTTTTGAACTTTTATGCATATTTGCTATGCAGCGCTATAGTGCTGCTACAGCCAACAAAAATGCGTATTGTCAAGAGGTCATCTGTGTGTGTGTGTGTGTGTGTGTGTGTGTGTATGTGTTCGGAAGCGAATGAACTTTGTCGTCCACTTTCGTCTCAACAACCAGGAAAGCTGAGAGGCTAGAATTTTGGGTGTATGTTTCTACTTCGTGTATCATCCTCCCGTTTCAAGGCTTTCGCTCATACGCGCGTAGACCCCGCGTACGGGCTCCCGAAATAAATATGCAGATTTCTTTGGCCGGAAACGATTTCGCGAACTAGGCAAGGTACAGAGCTAAAACTTTGCAGGGATATTCTCTGTGCATATATATGAGCTGAAGATTTCAAATTCAGCTGTCGCGCACGCTTGTGCAGCACCTATGATCACGTAAAAATTTGCAACTTGACACTATGTTAACTCAAAAACTTGCAGGAAAAAATTGGCTGAAATTTTGTCAGGATGTTTTTCTCCCATAAGGGAAATAGTGCGCCTAAAATGAATATCGAATTGCACTTGCGTCATGATTTAGGGCACTTCAAATATATTTGTAGCGAAGTGGCTATTTCGCTTATTGGACAAGGTTTAAGGCTGAAGCTTCGCTGGGATATTCTGCTTTCAAGTTCGGCCTTAATTCTGCTTGGAAGTAAAATTCCCTGCAGGTGGTTACGAGGGACACTCAGCTTTACTGAAATATCAGAAACGAATACGTTTTGCAGCGAACGACCGCCCTCATCCTCTCCCAACATCCAGTTCATTCACATATTTGAATTTTTCGACGAACGATCGCTGCAGCAACACTTTCACTTTTTAGTGAATTGGAGATTTGCATTTTTTTCAAAAAGCGAGAATTTACAGAAAAAACGACCGGCCCCATGCATACAACTCGTAATCATGTACCTGGAGGTCCATGCAGCTCTATAATGCACCAGCTTCACCCTCAACCGACGTCTTTTCTCCTGCATACCGGAAGAGGCCAGAGCGCGACCGATATGAGCCTAAGTGTTAGACTAAAGCGCCGGGATCATTCCTGCTATTAGCGACCTGCGAGTTTAGTGAAAAAATGTATGACCGCACCGACAAGCCTCGTGCGTTTCACCCTGGGTTGATTTTGCTGGGTGCTGACTTCTGATTTCGTGCCTAAACAGGCGACAGTGCTTTGTAAGTGGAGAACGCTGCTTGGAGTTTAATGCTTAAGGAATTTAGTTGGATATGTTACAAGCTATTCACTGTGTTCTCGAAACATGCATGATCGATGCTAAAAACTATATTGTTTATGGAAGACTGATGCTTTTGCATAACGCACCTAAACGTTCATCACTTGGTGCAAGAAGGCTGGACTTCAGCCTAATTTACCATTTTATTTAAAAGCCCAAGAAGAAGATTAGATTCAGTCACAGAGATATGGCTATATCATTGAAAAATTGATGCCGGTTTAAGTTCAACAGAAATTACAAGTGCGACTGCAATGTGTCCTCATCAGTTTCAGGTACTTAGGATCTTGGCAGTGAGCTTTGTAATTCGCGCAGTTACTGGCAGTATCCTTGCAATTACAGCGCGTGCGTGTCTCCACACATTTAACCCACTGCTCTGCACTAGAACAGTTAGCGAAGGAACAGGGCTTTCCCACATTTTTGCAGCACGTCGCTTTCGCATCATTAAATCCACGTGAACGTTTGCATTTATAACTCATATACATCCCAGCTTTTGAATTGGTGCATAGTCCCAGCATAGCATATTTGGTACAGTTTGTGGACAAGTCCAGGTCCTCGCACGGATCTGAAACGATGTTGCTGTTAGCCGTGCTAATAAATACAAACGATGGAGCTTGGGAATGTTCGGTCAACAGACTGAAAAAAGTGATTGGTAATTTTGTTTCGCATTAGCGGCAGGCAACACATTTAGGCCCATATAAAAATGGTCAGACAGTCGTTAAACGAAAAGCCAAATTTACGGCTCTCCTTTAATTTTAGACGCAACTTGCACTGGCTCCAGCCATAGCTACATCAGAATGCCTGCGCCTCCTGTAAAAAGTGAATGCAGTTAGCTTCTAGCTCTTCTACCGTTGTTGCGAATCTTGCTCTGTGGTCAATGGCATTTCAGTATCTGATGGTAAGTTATAGCCAAACAATTAGGAGCATAAATAATACTAAAGCATCGAGAAAAAAAAAGTGATAACCTTAACGCTTTGGAAAAGCTTATCACATCCTTCGCTACTATGAATGCTTTCGATTTCTGCAGCAATACTGGATTGCTTGACTTACCTTTACTACCATCTTTTCTTTCTTTACTCGTTACATCAGCGCCTCTTCCGGTTCCACTAGCAGTCTTATCTTTACCATTCGTTGTACCAGTGCCTTCTCCGGTCCCGCTAGCAGCCTTATCTTTACCATTCGTTGTACCGGAGCCTTCTCCGGTTCCACTAGCAGCCTTATCTTTGCCATTCGTTGTACCAGTGCCTTCTCCGGTCTTGCTAGCAGCCTTATCTTTACCATTCGTTGTACCGGAGCCTTCTCCGGTTCCGCTAGCAGCCTTATCTTTGCCATTCG